GGTGAGGGTAAAAAAATTGTGCTTCTCTATTATAAAAATACTTTTTAAACTATTGTGAAAACTAGAAATATTGTAAAAACTTAAATTTACTAACATAAAAGAGAGTTTGTTGGGTTGTAGACTTGGTTGTAGGTTCAAGCCTCGTCTGGTATCGTGTAGTTATTAAATCTTGATAAAATTTTTTTCTAGATTAAAAAAAAACACCTGTAAAAGATTCCAACGATACAATGCCAAAACTACTCTTAAGTTATTTTTTTTCGGTCCGTTTTTCAACGATGCCCCATAGATGACTTTTCGAGTAAGAGATAGAAATAATGAAGAAGTTAATTAGGAGCAAATATATTTTAAAATAAACCTAAAATAGAAGATACATCAAATATCATAAAAAAAAATAAAAACATTAATAAAATTACTACTAAGTCTAAAAACAATATTTATACGACTATATCTTCAGTTGTTTATCTCTATAATACAAATTTAAAGCGATAGTGTCTTCGGCCAATACGCTGTAATCAAGTATACTCTATTTGGCGTTATGTGCGAGAAATATGCACAGTACTTTAACGAAGGTGTGAATTATTTTTATGGAGTAGTCTTTACTAAAAGTATCATAGATAATTGAGTAGAACTGACCAGCGCTGTAAAAAAGCTAAATTGAATTAGCTACAATTTAGAGATCCGTATAATAATAACAATGATACATAATTCTAAGTCAATTTAAGAAACCCTTCAACTATTCGCTCTAATATATTTGTTAATTTACTTTCAGTTACATATTTATCTTGAGCCACTTAAAAAGTTTAACGGTAATTTGAAGGGAATAAAAAACACTATTTGAACAGAAAGTCATTATAAAAGATCTATATCCAGTAGGATGCCAAATAAAGATGACAAAATACTACAGAACCCTAGACAAATGCTACCTAAGCCAATTTGATTTGCATTGTATGAAAATCAATAGCGCTATTTTTTGCTGCAATAAAGAAAACGTAATTTAGCATTAACGAGTATTATCATTAAGCGGATTTAGAAGAAATCTTAAAGGTGATTTAATATGACATATTAGGATATAACTCACTCCCATCGGACACTTTGCTAGCGTTATTGAGAATCCAAGGATCTCACAAGGAACTATACCGGGGCCGTTTTTATTCATGCAACATTGTTATACCGAAGCGTAACTTTTTACAACACTCGTTAACGCACGCTAATATTTATTAATTACTGCGAATCTTTAATATGGACTTAAAGTATAATTAAAAAGCTTTTAAATAGCGCTAATAAAGCAGATAATAGGGAATTTATGCAGAATCGCGGTTCTCGAAAACCAGTTATACGATTCTACCTCTAAAACAAACTATTTGAGGCACCTTCTGGTGTTACAAACCAAACTACCAATTTTTTATTCTTTTTAAGGAGTAAATATCAACTCGCATGAATTCTGTAATGGATAGATCTGAACACGATAATTATGCTAAATTTCAACAAAACATTCATGTGTCACAAAGAAGCTTTATTGTCTTTTATTTATTCCTAGGATATCTGAATTTAGAAATTGTTTCAATGCTATTAAATATAAAGGAGACTATACACTCTTTAAGGGTACAGTATTTTTTGGCTGAGGATCCAACATTCACAACTTTTCAATGTAGTTTTACTTTCGCTCGAAAATATTTTCCATAAAGTTCAATTCGGTTCTGTTACTTATAAGCTACATTTAAGACATCACCGATAAGTTTATTCATAGAGTAAACGTAGGAGCCACCTGCAGTGTCTTTGACCAATAGACTCCTGCCGTTTTACGATTACAACTCAAACGATTGGAAGGCGATAATTTGTAACTCACTTGTTAAGTGAATCCATTAAATAAATTAAGTAGCTTATATGATTTTTAAGATCCTTTAGATATCGTTGTGAGTAATACACATTTCAATAAGTATTTGTAGTACTTGCTGCTCAGGCGAAGGTACTTTTGCCCTATTTCGACGAAATTTTTTACTTGATGGTTCTTGTGAGTGAATCTTAAAAGATAGACATACTGGTGGTGACTTTTTTTTAAGATTATTAGGAGAAAAATTACTTTTTAAATATATTTTTTGGGTATCTTAAACGTTTTGCAGAGCAAACGAAAACTTAAAGATTTTTTTACATTTCCCTTTGCTCGCGTTTTAAAGCATAAATCCTTTATCAATAAATGCTAACACACAAAAATGTTTTTTTTTAATTCGATGCAGTAGTATCTGAGATTGAGCGCGTTGAAACCAACAAACAAACTCTTTAACTTTATAATATGATGGTATAAATAGGCTAACATTTTTAAACAAGTCTTAACTTTTTTTACTAATATGAAGTTGCCATGTCAAATCGATATACAAGTATAATTGAATAAATTTAAAATGAAGCGAAACTAATATTAATAAAAAAAATAATTCGATTAGAAGTCTAAAAATAACTTTATGTATGAAATCAATAAATCACAAAGTTAGCCGTAATAAAATAACTGTATCGATTAAAAATTTAACTAACATTTCTCCGCACCTAATAAATGACTACCGAGATTCGTAACACGAGCACTGAATTTCAATGAACCGATACGCGCATCCTTAAAGGATAAAAGGTTGAATTTATCGCATCCCTTGTAACGTCCCACAACTCTCTTTCACAGTTTATTGGGAACAGTTGGACGCTACATAAACGAATACACTATACGACTATACATTAAATGTTACCTAAAATGAAAGTATACATAATAATAATTAAATAAAAATTCTATGTATATTTACCAAAATCAAAGGTTATTTAAAATTGTATTTTAATAAATTATATGCTGGCCTTGTCGTTAGGTTATTTTTGTGGCTGGCATCAGACAAAAATTATAGGACAAATAATTAAAATTCTTTAATCCTTTTTTATAACGTCGTCGAATATACATTTTCTCTGTCTTAATCTTGTAGCTCAGTATCGTAAATTGGAGCGTTTATAGCAGCCTCGAACGTGCGTTTAACTTTTCCCAACTGTCCATATTAATCTGTCACCGTACGCCACTGTAAGACAATTAAGACTTAATACTTTCAAGTGAAGTTGTTTTATGCAAATAGGCGCCGGTTCGCGTGTTAACGCCTACGGTTCGGGATGGTTATACTTAAAACGGTCCAATAAATTGCGGTGATTGGTTCGCCTATGCATTGAGACGATCGGTGTTTTATTGAGATGTCATCGTTTATATGTGCGGAACCACATTCGTTAGGTTTGCTCTTTTATAGGCTTCGCTGTTATAGAGCTTACGGTATAAAGTAGGTATCAAACATCTATAACTGCGAAGCATCGTTTTGTTAGCAATTTTAACGTTTTTTAATTTTTACCTTCTCTTCATTCTAAATCTCTGACTTTTTAGTCTGTGGGACTGTCAGTCTCACTATTAGAACATGGGATTTCTGATTTGGGTCTTAACATACCAAGCTCGTCTTTGCGATGTTTTCTTTCAAGAGCGAGAACTTATCAGAATATTTCTATATATTCATAGTTCAAATGAAAAATTAATAAAATATTTTTAGGAACTAAAGAAAATTAGTAAATAATTCCTTTAACAAATGAAGTTAAGTATTTAGTAAGACCTCATAGTAATTAAGTAAATAACCATAAAGCTTAAGTAGGTATTTATAAATATATTATAGGTATACAAGGCTAAATTTTTGTTTACCACAGTTAAAGTTTTGACAATTGAATAATAATTTAAAAATCGAAAATAAATTGAAAAAAATTTTCGACTCGGGCAGGACTTGAACCGGCATCGTCAGCGTTCCGTGCTGTTGCTCTACCAATTGAGCTACCGAGTCCTACACCTCGTCGTCGAATTTTTTCAACTTATTGATACATGCACGTACCGCGCAATGTAATTTTAACCTTAACACATGCGTGTGAAATTTTTTTCAATTTATTTTCGATTTTTAAACTATATAGTGCCTTCATGTGCTAATAACATGTGAAAAATATTAATGTTTTCAAATTGAATATGCATAATATATTGTAGTATAAACCGGGTTGAAGGGATGAAATAAAAGGACCGTCTATAAATAATATAAAACTTTATTACGAGTAAAATGTAACTTAGAATAAAAATATAAATACTTTATATAACTTAATAATTCCTTATAATTTGGACGGACGCGATGATTAATCACAATATACAAACGCAATGTTAGTATATTTCAAAAAAAATCCTCTACATAGTACTATGTAGTTCTAGAATAACTATGTACATATATATTTAGGTGTGTTAGATAAATGGCTGCCACAAATATAATCACATAAAAACAATACAACTATTGACATGTTCTATACAATGTGTTAAAAATATGTTTCTTGTTTTTGATAAAACACAGATTGCTGTGAATTGAGATTAAAATACTGCCTTTTGTTTACGCAAGTAGGTACGTAATATATAAAACACATATAGTTAACGCGTCTAGGGAATTTTACTGTTACTAGACTACTGCAAAGCATCCGAAACCTTTAGTCGATGTTAATAAACAAGGTAACAAATTACTGTCTGTAGTTTACGCAAGTAGTTTAAACATAACACTTTAACAGTTTAAACGCGCTATAAAATAAATAAACTTCTTTGAATTTTAATTATGGACGACGTTTCGGATTCTTTGCAGCAATCGTGGTCACGGAGAGACCACATCGTCGGTGTTGGGGTCGACGGGCGGTCAATCTCCTTGTAAAATATCGCGTTTAAGACCGTTAAAGTGTTTTATTAATGTTGCAGCCTATGTTAATTAACACACCTAGTCTTATAATAACACTTATTTATATAAGGAATTTCCTATTCCAATCCTATATTGTACTATACTATTAAACAGCTTTAGTGCATTGGACGAATATTGTTTTAAGTATACGATAACGAATAAGTTATTCTTAATCTAATTATTCTAATATCACACTTGTAATTATGTACTATAAACAGATGAGACGTATTTACAGACGAGGTAAGTCATTCAAGTGGCATCTTTAGCAGTGTTCCTTTGATGCTTCGCTGTAACAAATGAAAAAAAAAAATTTACATATGCGTTACATTTCATTATTCTTGTAGTGTCCAATAAACCTTAATTCATTATAAAAACTACGTCGTTGGTAATAAACAAGTGCCGTCAAATGTTTGATAGAAAGATAGAAATAGCGAATTGTACCGTACTGTGTCTTCATTATTACAGTTGTCCATTTCAGGTCACAAATGGACAAAAGTCTTGAAACAGTAATTGTCAAACTAATATAAGGAACATTCAAAATCAACTATTGTAGTCCATTTCTATTTTTTTTATTATAGTCATTCGTTAACGTACCAGTATGCAAGAAGAGGTGGTTCTTTAAGTTTGTATGCTTGGAGAAACCTCTGGAACAAATGTGACACTTGTAGGGCCAAGAACCGCTGTGCACGTACATGTGAGATTTGAGGTCTCCCGGGGTTGGGAAAGATTTTGAACAGAGGCTGCATTTGTGTGGCTTTTCCTGGGAAAGAAAATTACAAGTTACTTATCTGACTTATCCTGAATACCTGAACATAATCGGATATAATTACACAGTACAGTAAAAGTGTAGAATTTAATTAATACGGACAGGAATCGAAACCGCATAGATCGAGATGAGCTCAGTAAGCATAAGTAATAAAAAATTATAAATGTTTTAGCTTTTTAGACAGCCCATACAAGAAATAGATTGTATTGGCTGTTTGAGTTGCTAACATCAAATATAGGATACTCGGCGAAATTATCAAATTTACATACTATATACTGCACTCTGCTAATAATACATGTACTGTTCGATTAAATAATTATTCCATCAAAATTCTTTAAAAACAAATTTTAAAAATGTACCTAATTTTATATTACTTAAGAGTCTTAATCGTAAACTCAAATAATCAAACATTCTAAACTTATTGCAATCGTTTAAAAGAACTAGATCGATATCATTTGCAAAATTCCGCTCCCAATAAACCAAAAAGTGGACCTATTGTAAGTGGTGTCCCGAATTACTCATTACATTTTAAATAACTGTTTGAACTGCCGCATACGTCTCGCTACCAAGACAATAATGACCACAAAAAGAAAACAAAATCAATGTTGGAAGACAATAAAACGGCTAATAATCATCATCATCTCCAATATAATCAAACTCATGACGCTGCACTTCGCCGCGTGCAAATGAATTTATAATGAAAGGCGCGGCCGCTAGGGCTGTCACAAGTCTTAATTTTAATGGTGAGGAAAAAACCAGTCATGTCATTTTAGACGCGTACGTAAGTAATTCAGTTGAAACAGTAAAGGTTTTAATCTTTACTGTTTTAACAATATATACAAATATTTTTAACAAAATATAAGTAAAGGGCTGCTTTTTAGTCACGTGCATTGTATACACCAAACTTTAATATTTTTCACATGATGGCATTATATAAATTAATAATACATTTAGATGGAACATTGCGCAAGAACATGTATGTAATAAATTAAAGAAATTCGATGGTGTGGTACTGTTGCTGCCGGTTCAAATCTAGCACGTGTATTTAATTAAAAAAAAATCTAAATAGAGTTTCATTTATAGTAATTATAGTAGAAATGCTTATTTTTCTTTCACTAGAGTAACTATTTAATTATATCTTGAGTTCCTTTATAATTAGGAATCTTCATTTGTCTTGAACTGAAAAAAATACTTAAATTAACAATTTAACCAAAAATGTAATACCTATATTGACAACCCTAAACTCTCCATTCGCCTAGAAGAATTTGCATGTCGTATCGCTCAAAGTGTTACATATGATTATTGTCAGTTTTTATGCCCGCTTGGAAAATAGCATTGAATATGCAGAAGGCGAAATATTAAAATTGAATAAGGATAAAAAATGTCATTCACTCTTGTCATGAATGAGATTGGATTTAAAGTCGTTACATATGAGAATGACATTCTCGACGTTTTTTCAAGAGTTTGCTCTATAACTTTATCGTTTCCAATTTTAAGTTAGTTTCTCTCATACTTTTACTATCTATAAATAAGACTCATTAAATAAGACCATTTCTATTTCTTTTCTCCTGTACTTCAGGTTGGCTGGAAGAGATCTCTACTTAGCAATGAGGCCGCCATTTATTTATAAATTATTACGGAAGATTTTTCCACATTAATATGTATTTTCTGTGGTGTGTATAATAAAGCTATTAAAAGAAAAAAGCTATAAAGAATAAAATAAAAATAGTGACAACCCTAAAAAAGTATTCGTAAAAAGAAAACATTAGATTGTATAAAAGCGACATTCGTCTAAAAAACAAATGAAAACGTAAAGCTAGGCATTTTAATGAAACGTATCGAAGCGTGCCACTGATGACCCATAATGTAGACAGAAATCGTGACAAAACAAATTGAATAAACGACCCATTACAGAAGCTATGACCGATCCTATTGTCATAAACTTGCTTCCGTCATCAGTTACTTAGCTACCATCGAAAGAAAGTGCGTAAATTTATAAACAGTAGTTTTTTATTGGAAATTATTTTAAAGTATGTGATAACCACTTATTTATATTATGTCCTAAAAAAAATCCTATCAGCGTAATTTTTAAAGTTTTTAGTCCTATTCTTCAAGATACCCTTACAACGTCCCGAGATTAAGTTACTAACTTGTTTTATTACATATTTGACTATTGTCTATATTTTACGCTGCTGCATACACATTTAAATACAACACTTTTAACAGTTTAAAACGCAAAGTATAGCCGTGATCATAGTTTCCCCGTGATCACTGCAGTCGCTTTGTAGTTAAAATAAATTAATAAAAAGTTAAGTAAGAAACTTTGCGTTTTAACATGTTATATGTGTTTAGTGACCTTATTGTCTGTACGAGTAAGTGTAAATAGTAAGAAAGTTGATTTTCATCAATATTTATCATGTCGAAAATTTAATATTTCGTCTGAAATTAAATAAGATTAAAATATTATTAATATAGTAATTAGCAATGTGTCATATTGACGTCACGTTAACCGCTCGAAGCAATTAACGGTTACATCCCAAAGAATAATTTCCGGTGAACATAATTACATATATAATCAAGTTATACGCAATCAAACTTTTTCTAGCACCACCCATTCAATTTTCGCTTACCCGCCCAGATCACACCCACGAAAATGTAATTATTCGACCAAATTAAAGATGCCTTAATTGGGAAGGCCAGAGTGTTATAAAGAACATAATCAATTTGGTGGAGAAACAGTGGCTCAATCAGCGAGGTAAAAAGAAGTATGTTAAGCATCTCGCAAACAATAAACTTTTAGAGACCCGATTTTTGCATCATTGCGACGAGTAGTGGTAACCGCACATATGGTTATTTAAATTAAAACCAAAAATAACAAACATTTAGGGAACATGTAGCGATATAATTAATAGTATTGCTAAACACTGCGTTAACCACGAGGTGCTGGGTTCAAATCCCAGGAAATGATAGATTGTTTCGGGCAGGGCACCGAAGTCTATTTAACTACTTGCCTTTGAATAAAACCGATGAGAGAAACAGACTGTAGGAGATAGGATGTCTCAAACAATATTAATTATAAACATCCTATGATTTTTATAAACAATATATTATGATTAATGAACATTATAATTAGTTAAAATAATAGTTTTAAATTACCCCCCCCCCCCCCCTTTCGGGCAGCAGCCGAAACGACAATTAAGCTTAGTTAATTTTGTATGAATGAAAAAAAGAAGTTAACTAACATATTCGGTGTTTTGAACAGTTAAAAGTGTTTTTTACTTCCTAAAGTTTTAACGAGAGCTGGTTACAAAGACAAATAAATAAAGCTCTTATCTTCAAAATACTTAATAAATATTACAAAAACCCATGTTTCAGTATTCAATGATAAAGTATCCCGTATGCAGCGAGCCTTAAAACGAACAGCCCGCTACCGAATATTGCAATACATCAATATACAAAGAGCCATTAGTTGTCTGACAATTTCCGTTGGATAAATCACAGCAGGGTAAAAACTGGTCTCGTGCGTTCTTAATGAAAAGTGATGACTCTACAGTGGAGTCTCATATTGAGAGGACAAAAATGGGAACAATGCTGCTAGGACACAAATTAAATTCCATTAATATGACAAAGAAGTTCGCTGTATGAATTTTTGAAATGACACAAGTGACATTGGAGAGTCGTTAAGCGCGTTGAATTCTAATGTATGGAACCACAGTATTTAGAACTTTACTGGCAATTCATCGTTTAATACATACTATAAATGCCATTATTATTTAAACAATTACTCGAAAATAATAAAATGTGGTAAAAATATAAATAAATTATTATCGAAAAATTATTATAACAGCCATGTATCTAAAACTTATGAGTTTAGCCAAATGATAACCACGAATTTATTATTTAACTTTATTCAATTATACAACGAGCGAAAAATAAAGATTCACTATAATGTCAAAGTGGTCAGGTGTTACCACGTGCAGAATTGAAAATGTATATATAACAAAAACAAAGTTTAATACCCCCCTGTTTATATGCGGTTTTATCCGGCATATGGAAAATATTAATGGACATAAAATTAATTACTAATAAGTTTAAGCTATAGTTTACGCGGGTAGTACACATTTAAATAAAACACTTTAACGGTTTAAAACGCGATATATTAGTTTCGCCAAATACCAACTTCGACGGAACAGATGGCGCTAGTGTAGCAATTTTTTACTTTGACGTCAGAGACATCCTCCATCTTTAGTCTCCCCGTGACCACGGCTGCTGCAAAGCATCCGAAACGTCGGGCCGAAGTTAAAAAAAATTTCCAAAAAGTTTAACTAAGCTTTTAAACCGAAAGGATTTATTTAAAGTTTTGTATCTTCATACAGATTATGCGAACTGATTTTGACTTGACTTGACTGTTTGACAGAGCAGGATAGTATGACAGGGTTTGCGAGGAGGGTTCTCTTGAAGTGTCCCAGTCATTTAAGATCGATCGACTATCGACCTATATTGACTTCGCATTCGGAAATTTTCAAACTGAAACCGAAACGCGATTGAATTGGCTTTTTCATCTGGATGGTGGTTCGCGACGTAGAACGAAATTATGATATTCCTACCTCCCACTTTTGCTAATAATTAATGGGTCGTAGGTTTGACTCCCCCGGGTCTAATTTGTTTCTAATCAATTTTGGAAATCTGGCAATTAGGTGGATTTCATGTTAACTACGTGTAAATAATCTACAGATGGAAAGACCGTAACAAAGTTAATTTTATTTTTGGATTTCCGAATGTCTATAGCATCTTGTTTTTATATTATACGGTTGGTACCTCCTCCGTCATTAATAAGTCCCTTATCGTCGTATCAAGCGATACCTAAATCCCATCTTTGCTCCCGATGCATTCGCCGTATCTTGGAACAGTGACGTATGGCCAACTGATATGGATTGCGTTATGGAAATTGAATGCAAATGGGATACGGTTCGCTTAATTTGGCCACAGAGTAG